AGCTTCATAAAATTAAGTTTGAACCACTGATGTCACATGGACTATTTTAACGATGCCCTTACTACCTTTCTGGGCCTGGGAACGTTTCAGTTGCATTGCTGTCTATGCAGAGACAGAAAGATCTCGGATTTCATTAAAAAATATCTTAATTTGTATTCCAAAGATGAATGAAGGTCTTATGTGTTTGGAATGTCATGAGGGTTAATTAATGACAGAATTAAAATTTTTGGTGAACTATCCCTTTAGTGCACGAGACGTGACTACTATGCAAATCTTATGATTTTGGTTAAATAACCATTCACACTTCTGTAGTAAGTTTTGTCTGGGTGTGAAGACGCTGTGGGCAGTGGTGTAGCGTAAATCTGTGTTCTTGAAGTAAACTTCAGCCGATTTCCTGAGTGCAGGGAGTAGAGAGCAGTGAACACTGTGTAGGGACCATGTCAATCGAAACACAGTTCATTCATGGAGCTCTTTTATAACAAGCTGGTGATTTGAATCAGGTGTGTTAAACAAAAGAGACATGCAAAATATGCAGATTGGGGGGTTACGGGCCCATTCTTCGTACATCCCTAACTCAGTTAGCTGGATTTGATTGTTGATGTTTTCGAATGATCTTGGATTATTTGGTTCTTCGAAGCTCATCCTGGACTTGCTGTCATAGCAACAGGTCCGTAAACTTAAACCTGCTTGTGGGCAGGCTTATTTAATGTAAACAGGATTAGATTGCATCTTTTTAAGTCAAATTGATATTTAAAATCTGTCCCAGCCACTGCTACTTTATTGCAACAGTACACTACTAATCTGGGGACAATAATTAATAATAATAATAAAATTTTTAAAAATTAAATCACAAGATAACGCCGATGATGATGACGGCCTCTGTGGCGTTCTCTGCAGTTGTTTTTGTTAGTTTGTCCTGTCTTTAGTTATATCCCTGCAATCAGTTTCACCAGAGACGAATTGTTGGATTTCATTAAAAAATATCTTAATTTGTATTCCAAAGATGAATGAAGGTCTTATGTGTTTGGAATGTCATGAGGGTTAATTAATGACAGAATTAAAATTTTTGGTGAACTATCCCTTTAGTGCACGAGACGTGACTACTATGCAAATCTTATGATTTTGGTTAAATAACCATTCACACTTCTGTAGTAAGTTTTGTCTGGGTGTGAAGACGCTGTGGGCAGTGGTGTAGCGTAAATCTGTGTTCTTGAAGTAAACTTCAGCCGATTTCCTGAGTGCAGGGAGTAGAGAGCAGTGAACACTGTGTAGGGACCATGTCAATCGAAACACAGTTCATTCATGGAGCTCTTTTATAACAAGCTGGTGATTTGAATCAGGTGTGTTAAACAAAAGAGACATGCAAAATATGCAGATTGGGGGGTTACGGGCCCATTCTTCGTACATCCCTAACTCAGTTAGCTGGATTTGATTGTTGATGTTTTCGAATGATCTTGGATTATTTGGTTCTTCGAAGCTCATCCTGGACTTGCTGTCATAGCAACAGGTCCGTAAACTTAAACCTGCTTGTGGGCAGGCTTATTTCATGTAAACAGGATTAGATTGCATCTTTTTAAGTCAAATTGATATTTAAAATCTGTCCCAGCCACTGCTACTTTATTGCAACAGTACACTACTAATCTGGGGACAATAATTAATAATAATAATACAATTTTTAAAAATTAAATCACAAGATAACGCCGATGATGATGACGGCCTCTGTGGCGTTCTCTGCAGTTGTTTTTGTTAGTTTGTCCTGTCTTTAGTTATATCCCTGCAATCAGTTTCACCAGAGACGAATTGCTGGACATTCGGCACTACACATCACCCGATATATTACCGGTTTTCAACTATTCTGATGTTTTGCTGGACATAGTATTTGGCGGAGCAGCGGCGCTGATCAAGCTCTTCAGGACGCGCAGATGGGGGAAGCGAGCCGGCGCCCTCGTGAAGCTCAGGCAGCGCGGATTTCGAATGCCGTTGCCTAGCATCTATCTGGTGAACCTCCGCTCTCAACCCAACAAAACAGACAAACTCCTTCTGCTCTCCCGGACAAATAAGGATTTCTCACACTCTGCTGCTCTGTGGTTCACGGAAACCTGGCTGAATGACACCATACCGGACAGCGCGTTGAGTCTGCCGGGCTTTCAGCTGTTTAGAGCGGATTGCGAAGCAGAATCCACTGGGAAAACGCGTGGTGGCGGGACATGCTTTTACATCAACGAAAGGTGGTGTACAGATGTAACCGTGTTAAAGAAGATGTGCTGTTCAGATCTAGAAGCGCTTTTCATTAACTGTAAGCCTTTCTACTCGCCGTGGGAGTTTTGCTCATTCATTCTCGTGAGTGTTTACATTCCTCCGCAAGCGCACGTGAGCTCAGCTTTACAGAAACTCGCTGATCAGATCACAGAGACAGAACAACAACACCCAGACTCTGTTTTAATCATTCTTGAGGACTTTAATAAAGCAAATCTCTCCCATGAAAGGGCTAGCAAAATCACTCTGGACCCCTCACATCCAGCACACTCCCTCTTTGAACTGTTGCTACAGAGCTCTGAGCACCAGAACGACCAGACACAGGAACAGTTTCTTCCCTCAGGCAATTCATCTCATGAACACTTGACAATAACTGTGAAACACACAACACTATTTATACACTCATACACTTATTTATCTAACACCCACACTTAGTCTACACCTCAAATTTGCACATAATATACCTGTACATACAAAACTGTCTTATTGGAATATACCTGCACATACAATTGTCAATTTATATATTTTTATTTCTTATTTACTCGTTCTATTTTTTATTTTTTTATTCTTCTTTTATTATCTGTGTTTTTGTACTGTCACTGTCATTCTGTTGCACTGCGGAAGCTTCTGTCATGAAAACAAATGTATGTGAAAACATACCTGGCAATAAAGCTCATTCTGATTCTGATTCTGAGTGTTGTATAATCTATAATACTATAGACATAGCCAGTTTTACTTTGAAAGATATATTTTTGTGATAAAATTTACATTATAATTGTGTATTAGAGTCTTACACACGCTAAGCAGTTAATCTGAGTTCTGAATTAATTTGAGTGCTGACAGCTATTATGGGAGTTGCTTGATGGAGCGCAGGAGATGCAGATAACTTGATCTTGACCCTTAAGAAACTTTAATTAATGCTGTCACATACAGGGGCGCGGGAAGATGTTTTTGGTTGGGGATGCTGTGTGTGTCCGTGTTGGGTGAAAGGGTGGGGGGGGTCACCTCATTTGACAACTCCACAAAGCACTACAAGTGCGTTGATATGAACACTCGTTTAAGTGGCATACACACTGGGAAATTTGACTGCATTTCACATTTTTTAAATTATCGATAGTAGCTGATCAATCTCGGGGGTTGGGCTGGGTCCGCTAGGCTTACTTGTCTCCGTGTTCGTGCTGGAGCTGGTTCACTGATGTCGGTGCTCGTGCTGGGGCTGGTGTTGGATGCCGATTTTGGTGGGATGGGCATTTAAAATAATCTGAAATTCGCTTTTACACCATTATCTCCTTATATTAAAGTTAATATTATTCGCATTCTGTGTAGTTCATGTCTGATACCACGTGCCAGCGTCACGTGTTCATGAGGATTAGGCTAATCATCCCATATAGAAAACATCACAAGTAAAATTAATCATGTTTATAAAGATAAACATGGGTTTATTATAGCCCACTTACGATTTACATTTCAGAGATCATTACAAATAAACCATTAAATGCTAAAACTGAATAAATGTAAATGAACAAACTTGGCGTTGCATTTGCAACCATGTGAAAACAGGGGGTGCTGCAGCCCCCTCAGCACCCCTCCTGGTCACATAACAAATCTCCTTCAAAGATAAAATTTAATTTAGCTAATTACAACATGAACATTGATATAAAAATGTAATGCCTGTACGAATACTAGAAATTGTGAACATAAATAATTGTGAATCATGTAAAAAATAAAATAAAAACAGTGCACATTTCATTTATCTATTATAACATTTATGTAGTTTTGTTCTCTTGGCTGTTTCCTTATAAAGGAAATTTGTCAAGTTTCGTCAGGTGTCTTTTATATAAGATGATAATTATATGATGTCATTATGATTGCTGTCTTGCCGCCAGCCAATCACAGCATTGCTGATCGTGGTTTTGAGTATCGATACATCTGCCCTTTATGGGGAACACGAGAATGCGCAGTAATCTTAGACAACTAAATCCAGATATTTTAAATTTGTTTGAAGAACCAAATTAGCCAGAGATCAGTTATCACGATTAGAAAATCTCGCTTCTTTCAAATCATCTCAGATGTATTAAGCGAGGTACGAAGAACGGGCCTCAGGATTAAGAACCACTGGCCTAAACCTAACAATTTTTCAATATAAAACATGGGTTAAGATAGAAAAAAATATGTAGTCACAATTTATTAAAAAATTACAAAACAAATATGCTTTGTGTGAGGAACAGACCCAAAAGCGATCAATGTCTCTATCTGAATCCCAACAAATACACAAATTGCTGCTTGAAAAGTGCTATATATGTCAGCTTTGATTGTGAAATGCCAATGGCTCTAGTGTCTTATGACCGAGTTTGTTATGCTGTTTATCTTTTCAATGAGATTTGATTGCTTTGATGGAGCAGGATCATTTTCAGCAATTATCACCTTAGGTTTTACTCAATTACTCACACAAAGATATTAAATGTGATAAAATGTGTCCTGATCTGACACATGAGGCAAACAACTGAAAGCAATGTAGTTCCTAGTTTGTCAATAAAGCAATGCCTATAGGGGTACTTTTAGCGTTTTAATAGTAAGCTTTTCAGTTTTTGATGCTTTGAGAGTACAAGTGGGTTGGAATAAAAACAAGCCCCACTCTATATACAGTATATCTTTTTTTAATTTTGGTCACTATTTAATATAATATTATTTGGTACTGAATGCTGTAAACACACTTTAAAAAATAAATACATAAATAAAATTACCTTCAATGGGTCTTGGTACAAAGTGTGAAGAGGGCTTGGTTTTCTTTACTCGGTTGCCTTTCATGACCTGACCCTCCTTGGTGAGGCCCAGGAACCAGGCTCGACCCGACTCCTGTTGACGGTACATGGTGGATGAGTAGATCACGTAGTAGTTCTCAAACACAGACTCCTTGAATTTACATTCAGGTGTGAATATCTCCTGAGGATAAAAAAAAAAAAAAAAACACATGTTAATGAACTTATCCAGTGATGGGTGGGAAAAGGAAAAAGAGAGGTCAAACAGTCCTATTAGGGAGTCCCCAGGGAGGCTGCCATGATTTGTATATGTGGCTTGAAGGACTATGAAAAGTGTGTGACTTTATATGTCTGTGTACAAAACAGTCACCAATATGTGCGGGTTAGAGAGAGGCAGCAGGAGTTAGCATCTCTTATCTGCGTCAGGTGACATACTGTCATGTAGCAGATGTTATCTTGCTAGGGATTCTACAAAGGTAAATGTGGCGTGGAGGACTCTAGCCAAAACTGATGAACTTTAGACCTCAACTTGACCAAAATGCACAGACTTTCCCTGCATCTGGCCACAAGAGGACTGTACTTTTAAATGTAGTTTGACCTTTGAGTTCTAAAGAAAAGGTTGGCAATAGTATTTATCTCAGTGGTCTGAAATAAGAACTTGCACAAATGGTGATCTGTTGTAACTGTGTAACTGACATAAAACACATCTAGCATATATATTTTTTTAAATCTTGCTGTAGGTTTTATCAGTTTATTGATATATTCCTCATTTAAATATTTAAGATATATATATATTTTTTTTTTTACATATTCCTTATTTTAAAAGGGTGTACTCACATTAGGCAATCTGAGCCATTCCCGAGCACGTTTGACCCCCAAAGCCCGGTTCGTTTGACTAGTGTGACTGCTCTGTACTGTGCCCGGGCGCGGTTTGTTCGGCTCAAAATTCAATAATGAATTCAAAAGTAGTGTATTACACACTTTTAGTACTGTACAAAGTACTGAACAAAAGTGCAATAACATTTGGTTTGCAAACACTTTAAACAAATAAAGAGCTTTTTTACCGCAGTATTCCCTTTACATAGTAGCAGTTAAAATATTTATTGTAAATCTCAATTTAAATATTAATGTAATCAAATTAAAATCTCCTTTACACCGTGTCTACACCGGATGTGACAGTTGTCTCGTTGCGCTGCAACAGCTAAAGTCTGCCTACACTGGACGTGACAAAGCGACCGTTGCAAATCATTTGAATTTTGTGTCAGTACGTCATAGATAACGAGGCAGCAGTCGTGTCACGCTGTGCCGCATCCAGTGTAGACAGCATAACTCATTATAATGGGTTCTATATTTCTATATAGCATGATTTTTCATGGCCGATTCCGATGCCGATTTTTTACAAGCAAACTGGCAGATTCCAATACCTACTTCCCTACTTCCGTCCTTTAAGCAACAAACAAGAAAGAATTAAAGTATACATAAACAAGATGTTTATTTGGTAGTTAACAGGCCAAACTGGCTTTTGGCTATTGAAAACAATAACTGTAACCATCTGAAATTAATGGTGGTAACTGCACAGTAAGCACATTCAATAGGCTACAAACATGGTACTAATATTTAGTATCAGCATTTAGCTTTTGTTTTTAAATTGGGTTGGTTGTTGGTTAAAGTAGTGCCCAAAGTAGCGCAATGACCTTTTCCCAAATATAAAAACTCAATTTTTAAATTTGTTGGTTAAAGTAGTGCCCAAAGTAGCGCAATGACCTTTTCCCAAATATAAAAACTCAAAACATGTCATCATGTCATTTAAAATACATATTTTACAGTGACTGTTATGCATATGGATCAAAAACGCAGCTTAAAGGCTTCCTTCCAGTGGCCATCCTTCAGAAAACTTACAGCAGTTTTATCATAGATAGAATGCAAAATGTTTCAATACAAGCATTTCAGTCAAATGTAAATTATGCAACATTTCAAACCTATAACCCACAGGGGGAAATCAACCTATGGCAACAGTTTAAAAGTAGCCCAATTCCATGGAAAAATCCAACACGAGCTGCAAGAGTCAGATTTCACTGATCATGGGATGAGAGGAGAGATGGCTGACCTGAAAATATCAAACATCTGATCTTCCTTTACACAGAGTGCACGTGATCGCGAAATCGAAAGTGAAAGTGAACAGCAAGCACTCATTCAAAAGAGATTTAAATACTCTACATATCCTACACTCAAGTAGAAGTATAGATACTCATGTTTAAAAATACTCTGGTAAAAGCTGAAGTATGGACTACACTTTTTTACTCAAGTTAAAGTATATAGAAGTATGGGCTCTGACGTATAGCTACTTAAGTAAAAAGTATATTACTGTTTTAGTGTCACGCGGATATCAGGACCTCACGTCATATAAATACCTTAATACAAAGGAACTTAAATTTCAAATTTTGTTAGATAATGAATGTATCCATGCTGAACAACCGTCATGCAGAACAGGGCCGGACTGGGATAAAAATTTCACTCATCCAGTCTGTCCTCCACACCCACAACAAATTCTGAAACCATGGACAACAC